TCACTATCATGAAAACCAATAACTTCATCAGCCTTTGTATTATAATATAAATGACATTTTAATGACATTTCATCAAAGCATATCACACAAATTTTTTCAGACTCTTGCATAGTTGTAAATTTAACGGCTAATAAATTTAATACGTTTTGGTTTAAACCACTCGTAATAGAAATATTAGTTGTCATTTTATTGAGAGTCTTTCTGGCTGGCAAATCAAATATTGATGACAACATCCTGTACGTTCTTGGCCCTTTAAAATATAAATTCAAGCACAATTGTTTAAGTTGTAGAGAATACCTCCGACCTCGGTATTTTTTCTTGCCAGATAATACTTGCTCTCTTACGAACAATGCTATTAGAGGTGACATAAATTTTTCACAGGCATTCAGAAATTGATCTTCAGTTACATCTTCAATTCTTTTGATTATTCCACGCAGAGTGACAATCTCTTTTTCTAGGTTTTTTATTTTTTGTTGTAGCTTTAATTTTCTCGGAGAATGAGCAGATAAAGACTGCGGAGTTTGAGTAACTTTATAAAGACTTTGACTGTGTGGCAGTTGGGCTCCTCTGCTGTCCTTAACACACTGGGTTCTTGATGCACTGGGACGCTCTGCAGTAACTACAATATTAGAATCTGTCACACTGCTGTTGTTTGCTGCAAAATCGGTAATTGAAATCTGAAGAAAATTGGTGGTGTCAATTGGTTCCAAGTTCACGTAATTGTGTTCCACTTGTACATCATGCTCTGCAGAAAACTGCACCCTTTCTTTCTCTTCCAACGAACGAGTGATTTGTCGAATGCCAAATGAAGTGCCAGCGCTTACATTTGCACAATCCTGAAATCAAATTTTACAAAATATATATTTAACATTTAAATCCATTCCCAATTCAGTGTTGCGTTTTTATTCCTTGCAGAGATTACAATTCCAGAGGAAAAGAAAAATGAATTAACTTTATCAGCTACAGTATATATATGTAGTATTATCAACTCAATTCTTTTATATTCTTTATTTGATCATTTCTTTACTTACCATATTATTTTCAACACTTTCCAAATTTTCTGTCAAATTGAGAGTTGGTTGAGCTACAGGAAGCAACCGGTTTTTTAAATCATTTGCATACATTCTGTCTTCAAAGTGATCGCTGCAAACTACATTGCTGAGATATACCATTTTTGGTGACTTTTCCAAAAGATCTTCTCGACCACATATAATTGCCCATTGTCTTAACCTAAAATAATTAAATTCAATTTTTATATTTTATGATTTAAAGTACAAAAAATTGTCCTGTAATATTGTACGTATACAGTCTTGACATATACTAACCGTTCAATATCCTTAGGAAAGTGAAAAAAATGGGTATTTGGTTTTGTGGTTTTATTTCGGCACTTTTGAACGCTGCAAATTTTATATCCTTTCCTTTTCTCCATTTTATACGATGTTACGAAAAATAGCTCCAATGTATAAATGTATTTACACGTTATTCGTCAACACACGCAAATTTTTCGTCAACACGCAAATTTTTCAAAGTCACACTGTGGTAACACCGACTTTGCACTAACGCACGCACAAAATCCTGTGATTGGTCAGAATAAAAACATGTCGGATGCGCAGTACGGATCGGCGCGAACGTGAAACAAAAGAACTCCCACCTCGTTGATAATCATGCAATCCGTCGCGGCAGCACGGGCCCGGATTCATCATTTCCGATCAATTTAATCGGCTGATCAAGTGTCAACCGTGATTGGCCAATTCCACCTGCGACAAATACGATTGGTCAATTCCAATAGAACGCGGAAAAATCGGCCGATTTGATGAATTGGAGATGTTGAAACCGGCTGAAAGATCTAAATAAAATCGTACCCATCAACCCGGTGCGCGCCGGTGTGTGGGCTCTCGCTCACGCGCAGTCAGGAAAGCGGCGCGGCGCGACACGTCGCGCCACTCGCGTCGCCGTCCGCGCCGGAAAATCGATGGCGCCGGTATTCCTCCGCGTTGGCCGCGGCGCGACGCTCATCCGCGGCGGCCACGTAGACCCTGCGCGGCTGTTTCCGGCGAGAACGTCGCCGGATTGAGATCCTTGTCACACCGCACGCTCGCGACTCGCACCCTCGTGCCGCGACGCGCGTCCCTCGCCGTTGAACCCGGGCCGCCGTGTCGCGCCGCGGAGTGGAATTTTCCAGACGCCGCCGGGCCGGCCGCGCCGCTTCCGGTGGCGCTGGCGAGCCGGAGCCGACCGTGTCGCCAGAGAGCAGAGAGAAAGAGGTGCGGTGTTGCGTGACTGGGTGCGAGCGACCGTGGTGCGTGTGTGTTTGTTGTGTTGTTAAGCGTATAAGCGGGTTCCACGAGGTTCCCCGTGTCCTCCGCCTTTTCGGGTAGTACGCGAGTACGAGCGGACGGCGAGAAAACGCCCGGATACGGAGAATCGGGAGAAACGAGGAAGAGAAAGAGAGAGAGTGAGTGAGCGAGCGAGAACGAGCGAGCGAACGAGAAAGAGTGAACGAGTGGGGGAGAGAGAGAGAAAGAGAGGCCAGCGGGGAAAAGCAGAGGTGTCGTCCACCAATATTGATAAAAGAGAATAGAGGCCGCGATGTCGTCATATATCCAGGTGGCCGAGGACGAGGGCGAGGAGCCCATCGAGTTGCCGACAGAGGACGACACCACGCTGCTGCTCACCACCCTGTCCGCCCAGTTCCCCGGCACCTGCGGCCTGAAGTACCGCAACCCGGAGTCGCGGACGATGCGCGGCGTCCGGCTGGTCGACGGCCGTCTACATCCGCCCGAGAACGGCTGGGGCAAGGCGATTTACTTCTGCGTATTTCCCAAAGGTACAAATCGCGCAGGTAGTACAACGCACGTACGCGCACGCCCCTTCCCTCCCGTCCCCCTCCCTTCACCATTCTCCATTCCTTCCGCGTATTTATAACGTGGCGGCGCTGCGCTCGCGGACGATGCCGTCGAGAGATTGGCGTCGCCGGGGAGGAATCGACGAGACGCCGTCGAGTCTCCCTGTGTTCCGATAGACACTGCCAGTACTGGGATTGCACAGTCGTGGTCGGAAAGGTTGTCCGACATTTTCTGCTAAATTTCGGATATACAGTTTGTCGTGCGAGAGATTGTAGGCTTTTGTTTACGGATATGCGTAGCGACACATCTATGCAACGATGCGTACGAATATTCGGGGAATTTATTGTAAAACGTTGGACGACCTTTCTGACTACGACCGTACAGTTTGCGTTACGTTCACTATAGATTTTCAGTGTCCGGCGGTAAAGGTGCCTTTTCATGCTGACGCTTGACGGTCACTTCGAGCGTCAAATTAGTGACTCTGGGGACTTTTTTTTAATTGTAGCGTCAAGTGGAAAGAGCTAAAAAGATCCTAGCTTTCCTTGGCGCTAACAGCGTCAATTGTGCGATCTAAAAATTGGCGAAGGAGAGTTTGCTTATTTCAATTACACGCTAAATGGAGCGTCTTGGCACTCAAATCGAGCGTCAACTCGAAGTCAGCGTCATGCGTCCACTTAACGCTACAATTCAAAAAAGTCCCCAAAGTAACTAGTTTGACGCTCAAAGTGAGCGTCAAGCGTCAGCATGAAAAGGCACCTTAATATCGGAGCACAGGGGCTCGATTCTTGAATCTATTCGAAGGAGAAACGTATACTAAAATTCTGCTCTTACAGAAAAGTTGCAAGTTGATTGGCTATTCGAATGGCTTTGACCAATCGACTTTCAACTTTTCCGTCGGAGCAGAATTTTCGTATACGTTTCTTCTTCGAATAAATTCAAGAATCGAGCCCCAGGGTGTGTCAGAGTATGGATTGAGATTCGACTGATTCGAGTGAAAGTCGTTGAACTTGGAATTAGCAAACTTCGATCGGTTAAGTGTCAGGCCAATCTCAATTCAGTCTGATACGCACTTCAGAGCCGTCTTTGACTAAACTCCGATTAACATAATCAACGTTTAAGGTCCGGTTTTCACCACGACTTTCACAAAACGTCGCTTAACTTGAATCTCAGTTTAACTCGCGTTTGTTTCCTTCTAAAATAACAGGTCTGATTTCACCGACGTTGTTTAACTTTATGCTTGGATTAATTCTTCGTCTTTTTCCAACTGTTACTTTAGAAAGAGACAACCTGAATTACACTAAGGGTGTACATACAACTACGGTTTCACCAACGTCGCTTAACTTTAACCTTACTTTAATTAATTCTTTGTCTCTTTTTAAGGTTTGGTCTCGCCAAACGTCGCTTAACTTGAATCTCAGTTTAATTCACGTTTGTCTCTTTCTAAAGTAACAGTTGGAGAGAGGCAAAGAATGGATTAAGCTTAAAGTTAAGCGACGTTGGTGAAACCAGGCCTAAGGCAATTGTTATATTTCACTTTATTTTAAAAATGCACGTTCAAAAAGTATTTAGCCAAAAAATGATCCATACAGATGCTGCACAGATCATTTTACTAACTCAGAAATACTTCCAGAGATATTTGAGACGATCCTTTAATATAAAAAAAATCATTGACTGTAAACAAGTCTTAGTTTGCGCTCAGTGTGCACTAGTGAAAGCAGCCGAATTCGCTATCAGTAACTCTGGGTTGGATGAGTTCTACCCATTTCTACCGATGCAGATTAACTTTAATTCCGACTTAACTTAAGTTTTTATCGTTTTCCAATTCCAGAAATTGGAAAAAGATAAAATGTAACTTAAACTGGGATCAACGTTAATCTGCATTGGTAGAAACGGACATTAATCGATTGAATTAATTGGAGTTTGATCAGACCGTGAGTGCAGACTTTTGCGTAATTCATGAGGGAACAAACTAATCGGAGCCTTTTATCTTCATTTCCGCGGTGGAAATAAAAACTGATTGGTTTACTGCCTGTGCGTTGTGCGGGGGGATGCTCGAGTGATTCTGCACTTTTTGCACGTTTTGCATCTAGAATTCATGAAAACATACAAATTATGTGGCTTTTGGTGTACCGACTAGTTTCCACTAATCGGATTAAATTAGCGAACAGCATGGTATCATTGAAATTAAGTTTTTTAGGAGCAAAGGGTGCAAAAAGTGCAAAGTTACTCGAGTATCCTCTTAAAGCGGCCCTTAAGCCTTGTGTCCACGATCCAAGAACTGTGTCCAAGTTCTAGTTCCGAGAAATGCGTGGCCAATCACCTTACAGCTTTTATGGAATAGCTGCAGGTTGATTGGCTACACATTTCTCGAAACTAGAACTTGAACCAAGTTCTTGGATCGTGGACACAAGGCTTTAGGCTTGTCGCAACAAAGAGTGTTTACGAAGAAGCACTCGGAGTTAGGTTTGGATCGGACATGCGTACGCCTCTCAATGGTTCGTGTATTTCATGTTTTGCCCGAGTTGTCTCCAATAGCGACCCGAGTAACCCGGGTTTGGGCAGACTGGTTCAAATTGGTTTTCTGCTCAATAAATGTAAGTAATTAGCATTGAACATTACATAATGAATATTTTTGATGCAGGAAATACTAACCTAATAAAAATTTTTTACGTAATGTTAAATGTTAATCACTTATATTTAGTACGTAAGTTAGAACTTAAGTCTATGATAAAATCAAGTCAAAATTTACATACCGGTCTAAATATATTAATAATTAGGTAATGTAATATTCCAACTTACCTGTCCTTATGCAGGAAACCAATTTGAACCAGTCTGCCCAAACCCGAGTTACCCGGGTCGCTATTAGAGACAATTCGGGCAAACCATGAATACATAAATCATTGAGAGGCGTATGCATGTCCGACTCAAACCTAACTCCGAGTGTTTCTTCGTAAACACTCAAAATTGCACAGCTGCATATGCATAGCATAAGATCGTCTAGATCAATGAGCATGTTATGTAAATCAATACGGCGATTCAATGCTTGATGCTTATTGGTTTAGACGGTTTTTGTGCTGTGTATATGTAGCTATGCAATTTTGTGTGCAATAGCCCTTATTCTCTAAAAATATTGCATACGATGCTTGATGAATAGCCAGTGTCAAGCACGAAAGTATTGCATTTAGCGTACGACAAGTTTTCAAATGCTGATTGGTTGCAGGGTAGCGATAATGTAATTTTCCACGTGAAAATATTTACGTGGACTTAATCGCAAATATCTCCACTCATGGGACACTTAGGAGAAAAATGAAAACAATTTTATTATGCAAATCGAACCCAAGCTATCGATTGAGTGTACCTACAAGTTCATCTGTCAACTCGCGTACTTGAGTAAACTACACGGTCGGTCTCGTGCGAGCGCGGTTCTAGCTGCGCTTATACTTGGCGCGAGACACTACTGTGTCTCGTGATGATGATCGACGATGAATTCAAGCAATGAAATTATTACATTCGTGTGACACTTGTCATTTTTCCACTCTAGGGTAAAAGTTACATGATCGCTACCCAGAATAGAAAAGCTCTCGAACTTTCCGAGTCTCTAGAAATTTTCTATTCTACAGCCAACACGTTTGAGACATATGCCATGCGAGAAATGCGATAGTATCCAAATGTTGTATTTGTCGCGTTCGATGGGACGCTGCGTCGTCCCGGAGAGCGTTTCTACATGTTTTTCGTTTCGTTACTTTAAGTTTAATTTTATACACATATGAATCAATAAGTTTAATTTTATATATAATGGATGTCAGATAAATGGAAAAATATTCTCATGGTCCATTAAAGTATCGCAAGTCGGCCTCGATATTCGTTGACCGAAGGATAATGTGTTGTTGACTCAGAGATTCTCTAAATTTTTCTTCCTTCTTCGTTTCTCTTTAATTTTTCGTTTTTTCTCTTTTCATTGATTTGTTCTTTTTTTTACTTTTTTTCTCTCTTTCTCTGCAAATAGTCACGAACCGGTTAGACGTGAACGTCCATTATGTCTTTTCAGAGAACAAACGTAAATCTGATGACAATTTGGAAAATTCCACAGCTAAGACTAAAAGAATGGAAACCAAGTTGCGTTGCACCGACTTGATTGTACTCGGTTTGCCGTGGAAAACCACCGAGCAGAACTTGCGCGAGTATTTCGAAACGTTCGGCGAGGTTTTAATGGCACAGGTGAGTCTCCGCGTTATGCCCGAGCTTGGGCTTGGCGACTAACACAAGGGGGAGTCCCGCTGCGCTAACAACGCGCTTCTGTACGCCTACCAATCCTTTAGACAAGTAAGAGAGCGATATCACGCTGCGACTCGGTGATCAGGACAAATATTGTTTTCAATTTAAACTAATAATGCAAATTAAAGGGGGAGTGGCCCAGCTATACGAGCAACAACAAGTTGTAAATATTGTTTTGTTCCTCATTCTCTAAGAACTGACTCGATAAGGGAAACCTGGAGTGACGACTGAACATTCGAAACCATCGATAATTTAACGTCCTATATTGTCATTCAGCCCAGGACATAAAGATGTGTTGGAAACATGTATAAATGTACAACACAAAAGAGACGAGAGCAGAGATATTTATGAGATATCCATCCTTACCTAATAGAGTCCCTCTAATCAGAGTCTGGCCAGACTATTATCTAATGGAGACTTCTACGATCGAAGAAGAGTGAGATAGCCTATGTTCCTCTCTCACTCGCGGGAATTTGACCAACTCTTATGGCCAGTCTCTGATTACAGGGTCTCTATTGTCCAACACATTGCAGCGCCATCTATTGCAAGATCTCGCACTTATAGTCTGCCATTCTGTAGTTACACTTCGGGTGTAAAGATATGTGTATTTACATAAAATAAATTTATCCGACAATTTTTTTTCATCAGACTTAACTTTGACTGATTCGATACGCTCTTCTTTGATCTAATCCGAAATGCAGAGCAGCTTTCGATTTGTGCAAATAACCTATATAATATCGTATACGAGTGAACGTTTCTTTCAACTGACAGCTTTACGTGCAACGCCAAGAAATATCTTATAATTTTTGTTCGTTTTTACTCTTAAACTGACCAGCCGGCATTGTATTTTTGTACATACTTTATGTATATGAAAGAATTTTTTTTAATTTTGTGAATTCGAAGACAGCTGTGCCACACTGTCGGTTTCTGCCGTCACTCCAACATTCCCCCACTCTCCGTCGGCTCTTTGAGCTTCTCGGTCTCGATCACGTGGTATTTCGCCATTATTTTGGACAGCAATCCAGCGGCGTATGTGTGTGTGCGTGTGTGTACGTACCACAAACTTCTATATTTGCGTGTACATAAATTTGGTCAGCAGTTTACCCCTCGCTTTGAGCTGAAAAGTGAGGCAAGAGTTCAGTCATGTCTTGTCAGATTAATTAAGTAGTGTGTCACTGTCAGTCCGATGTACACATACTACTTTATACTACCTACTACCTAACAAGACATGGCGGATCTCTTGCCTCACTTTTCAGCTCAAAGGTAGCAGTGTTTAGAAATCAGTGGTACATACTCATCCAAGCTACACTACCACAGTATAACCAGTAGGGGCACTCTCTGGATGTGTCCGAAAATGGATTTTGTTACTGCCAGTAAAAACAGTATAGTTGGTAGCAATGAAAATTATTGGTGCGGCGTTTTTCTTACGCCAGTAAAGCCGCTAGTTTTACATTGTGTCATCCTTTTTGTCTCTTGCTGGACAGCACCAAAGATGGAAGAATATATTTTATTTGACAATATTATTTTTGAGTCATCTATTAGTAGTGCTTCTTCGAGTGACAGTAATGATGATGAACAGTTACTAAATATAATTTTAAATAATAACAAAAATGAAAGAAGAGTGCCAAAAATTCGAAACTATTTGGAACCTGTTACATTGTACACAGATATCGAATTTAAATCACATTTTAGGTTAATATAAGCTATATACATATTTATACGTAAAAAATATTGCATACATTATTATAAAATATTTGGGTTAATAATAAAAATCATAATAAAATATCTCTAATTACAGAATGGAACGTAATACTTATAATTTTTTTGGTGTATTTAATTGGACCAAAATTAGATAATATTCCATTTGAAGGAAGAGAACAAATTGATATTGTAAAGCAAATATTAAATGCTATTTACGTCTTAGCAACACCAGATTCGTTTCGCTCTAACACCAAAAACCAATTCGTACAATTTTTAACCAAAAAATTATCTTCCGTATTATTTTGGATCACTTCGGTTGTTTACTTGCTTTACTGGCGGAAGAAAAACGCCGCACCAGTGATTTTCATTGTTACCAACTATACTGTTTTTACTAGCAGTAACCAAATCCATTTTCGAACACATCCTCTGTCGGCACCTTTGATCTGGGTGTTCTCACTTTTCCGCCATGTTTTCATAAGCGCCAACAGTGTATGAACTGCTAAAAGTGCCCGAACCCTTTTCAGGATTGTATCCAGGAAAGGCGCATACGAACTGGCATACATTATTTACTGTAATTGGAAATGGCCTGTGAAAAAAAATTTTTTAAATAAAAGTAATTAATGTAATTACTTGCTCTAACGTATAAATGTATTTACGCGTTATTCGTCAACACTGCGAATTTTTCAATGTCACACCGACTTTGCACTAACACACGTACAAAAATCCTGTGATTGGTCATTATACAAACATGTCGGATGCGCAGTACGGATCGGCGCGAACGTGAAACAAAAAAACGAGTGACCCTACTGGTTATACTGTGACACTACCACACATATAACTTTTCTCTCATTGGCCTGGTCAAAATAATGACGGACACGCAGAAGGGATCGGCGCAAAACAAATGACGAAGCGAAGAACGGAGTAGTGCAACAGTTTACATAAAATCAATTTTTTTTTTATGAGAGTCGAGTAGTGATATTGTATAAGGAATTGATGTAAATTGAAGTTAATTTTTCAAGATAAAGATAAACTTATTCATATCACATAGTGAATTTATCTTAATTGGATAGCTATTTATAACGCATTAAATGTGATCGCTTTTAATAAAAAAAAGTGATGAAAAGGCGGAACGTTCTATTCGCATAAGCGCTCTGGCTCTGAAAGATCATGTGGATATCCCTGTCGTAGGTAAAGAAAGATGCAAAATCCGGGCAAAGCAAGGGATTTGGCTTTATTCGATTTGGAAGTTATGAGTCGCAGTTGAGATGCCTCGCTCAACGTCATATGATAGACGGCAGATGGTGCGATGTCAAGGTTCCTAACAGTAAGGTAAGGGCGTGACTCACTCGCAGATTCTACAATTCTTTCTGCTACTTTTTTTTATTGCTTTCTCGAATGTACAAGAAAATCTTGAAGAGTGTTAGGTGATGCACATTTAAAGCACATAGGGGCGAATAAATCATTTTAAAAGCAATGGGAGATTTTGTATATTTCTGCCAGAGAAAATAGAAGCGTTCGAGTTCTTTGACACTTTTTTTTCGATATCGTTATTCAGTTATTTGTCAGTCAAGCTTTCACTTATTGTTAGTCTGTTATCGAGGATGTTACTTTGTTGTTGAATAACAAAATATACAAGTTCAGTTCTAATCAAGTATTGATTATACTGTCTGTAATCTCCAAAATAACGATAGCATATAGTATATTGATAAATATTGAATAAGGCAAGAATTCGGATTTATAATTGATGTCAAATGATTGCTTTGTATTGCTTTTGAAATGATATATTCTCTCTTTTTCAAGTACACGTGCCTTTAATTTGTACATATTTTCGAAAATGAAAGTAATTGATTCGCGGCATTTGTGGCCTCGATAAGATTTTCTCAATGATGAAATCCAAATCTTTTCTCGATCAAGTTTGTTAAAATGTTTGTGTCTACATGCTTGTAATTGCACACGTAAAAACAAACCGGGGGAAATGATCTTTAATCTGTTGGCCGTTGAATGCCGAATTGTTTCTAAATTCCTTTGTCGGCAAAGGGAAAGTCACAACCAAGAATCCCATTTGAGAGACGCAATGTCCAATTTTTTGATCTGGCCAGCGTGCGAGACAGATCCTCTCGAATCTCGGCCACCTGTGCATGTCTTCGCGTTTCTTTAAACCCCTCCCCCCGGGATATGTACAGATATAAATACACGTGTAAAATGTTTCAATCAGAGAACGAAATGCCGCGTGAGAGACAGTCGGCTAAAACTGATAAGCTTACCTATTGTGGATACGGATAATATCTTATCTTACGAGCTTTTCTGTCTATCTCCATTTATCATACAAAGCTCTAAGCGAGCATCAATATCTTCTCACATCCCTTGAATATGTTATTTTTATGTACATGAGACGTACCTTTTGCTGTGGTGTAAATAGATGAATGAATGTGCGAGAGGCATACGAGAATGGTGGAAATTATAAAAGAAAGAATGCAAAATGTCTGTATGTACGAATGTATGTTTATACGAGTGTGGTGTGTGAGCCGTGGAGAGAGCGACGCGTCAATGGTGTGTGCCTGCGTGGAAATAAATACGGGTGTGTTTGTGTTTTCTGGACACGATATGAGATCTCTCTAGGCGAGTGATTAATAGTTCAGTGTCAGAGATATTGCAATGGAGGGAGAAGTGACTCGTGCAAAACGTAATCCAACTTTTAACGTCGTGCGCTAAACCTTTCTCGAGATCTTCCGAGAGTGGCCGGGGCTCTCGCGAGCCTCGGTTATGACGAGAGGAAAAAAAGAAAAGAGAGAGTCTTCAGATGACTCGGTATCTTGAACGCTAATAGGAGCCGAAGTACTCGCTAAATTGCGTAGCATCCCGCGTGAATGAGAATACTATGAGGAGTGTATCGAGCGTAACTGGAGAGGCAAAGGATCGATGCTCTCGCGTTTCCGAGCGCGCGTATCTTCCTCTGGAATACACAGAGATATTGTAACCGGGTATGACCTTGTGTGCTGGAGTATGTAAAATGCGGGACGGCCGCGAGCCGCTTGACTTTAGACTCGAGAACTCGCGCGAACACGGGGAACGACACCTCTGACGGATTTTTGTGAGACCCGCGATGCGCCGGTAAACGCTCTTACAATTAGAGTTCGGGACGCGCGAATGGTGAGAGGTCGCGTGGAGAAGATCTTGCGAGGCGGCGCGCTGAGTGATCGAATGCGTGATCGGGAATGAAAAGATGAACTCGCGGGTGAACGGATGAACGCGATAGCTCGACGTCGTCGCGTCACGTCTCGCGGAATAGATTCCGCGCCGCGAGAAGTCCGTCCAAGGGGCTGGTTCACGGAGGCCGTAACTATCGAACGCCGATGGGGCTCGATGCTGAGACTTGGACGCTCTCGTCAATTCATTATGAGCGAAAGCATCGTAATCTCAGTGTCGAGCTCCGCCAGTTACGGCCTGCTTGTAGCAGCCTTTACGTTTGCGTGTTTCGCTGTCATCGGCGTCACAGTGATGTTCCGTAGACGAGTGGCGAAACTTCTGCGCATGCTAAACAGACACTTGCCAAGGCGAAATTTAAAGTATTAATTTTTCATAAGTTGCCGATTATGTCCTTTTCGGTAATATTTTCTTATAAAAAAGAACTTTGTTAAAATATTTTTTGGGGATTCAACCTTACGCTGATAGAGGTCGTAAGTGAAAGAATTTATGTAAGAACAGGGTGTACTACTGGCGGAAACCTGGAAAACCTGGAATTCTCAGGTGATTCTTCTTTTGCCTGGAAAATGAGGGAATTTTTGTTGAAATTGTCTCTTTATTTTGTATTTCATGTTCAATCGAAAAGTAGCCGACCGACTAAGTTAGTAAATGTGTTTGCGGAGCGGTAACTAATGCTCCAACCATCGTTCCGTCTTTAAATTTAATTTTTTTGTATTTGTTTTGAATTAAAAAGTTAAAATTTTTAATTATATACAAGCTAGCCCCCTTGTATGAGATACCGAATTCATTTTTGTAATTGCCGGAAATCTGTAGGCACAATAAAAAAATATATAATAACAGTTTATTTTGAGGGGAATTTAATGAGCTTTAAGATGCTGAGACGTAAAATTCAATTTAATCATTTTTTTCACTAGAAAAATATGAGCTTTCCGCGAAATCGAAAAAGCGTGCTCGTAATATGAGATACCTTATGAAATTACTAATATAGTACAAAATCAAATGTTTATGAAAGATAAATATAATGAAAAAATGTTGCAATTAGAAGTTTACTAAATGTTTGTGAAATACAAATGTAACGAAAAAGCTCAAATATTTTTAATCTGACAATGAGTCACGGAAGTTTTTCGTTTACGCCCTCGTTTTGCAGATGGTGTTGCTTGGATTTGTTTTTTATTTTTATTAACAGCCAGCTGATCGCGATAGTTGAGACTTGAGCATATGTTATCTCGTATGAGAATTGAATATTTCGTAATACAAGCACGCCTTGCGGTTTTGCGACCACCAAATCTAATCTCTATAACTAAACAATTAAACATATATCCCGCATTTTTCCATTAATACAATCTTACTCTATCACTGCATGCAGAATTTATTGCCAAATATTTATTTATTACACAATAAACAAGGTTCAAAAACTTACCTCAATAGAACTTGACGACTTCCAATTTCTTAAATCTTTTTTCATAACGACTACACGCACGATCGGACAATGAACTTTTCACTGAATAGTTTTCACTCCAAGAGTAATAAGTCTATGGTGAAACTAACTAATTATTAGTGCTTATTAGTTTAGCAGAAATCCCGCTAAAATCCTCCAAAATGTCTACTCTGTAAAAACCTTTTTTCTTATTTGAGGACTTTTAATGTTCTCTTTATGGTTGTGTAAATATAATATACGCTGTGAATAAGATAAAAATAATTCTATACAACAGTCAAAGAACCCCGCACTAATCGTATAGG